TCAATATTGTGAAAATGACCATACTGCCAAAAGCAATCAACAAATTCAAGGCAATTCGCATCAAAATACTGTCATCATTCTTCTCAGAACTAGGAAAAATAATCCTAAAGTTTATATGGAACCAAAAAAGAGCCCACACAGCCAAAGCAAGACTAAGCAAAAAGAACAAATGTGGAGGCATCACATTACCTGACTTCAAACTACACTATAAGGCTATGGTCACCAAAGCAGCATGGTACTGGCATAAAAATAGGCACAGAGACCAATGGAACAGAATAGAGAACCCAGAAATAAAACCAAATACTTGCAGCCAACTGATCTTTGGCATAGCAAACCAAAATAGAAAGTGGGGAAAGGACACCCTAATTAACAAATGGTGCTGGGATAACTGGCAAACCACATGTAGAAGAATGAAACTGGATCCTTATCTTTCACCTAACACAAAAATCAACTCAAGATGGATCAAAAACTTAAATCTAAGACCTGAAACCATAAAAATTCTAAAAGATAAAATTGGAAACACCCATCTAGACATTGGCTTAGGCAAAGACTTCATGACCAAGAACCCAAAAGCAAATGCAATAAAAACAAAGATAAGTAGATGGGACTTATACTACAAAGCTTCTGCACAGCAAAACAAATAATCAGCAAACAGACAACCTACAGAATGGGAGAAAATTTTCACAACTATGCTTCCGACAAAGGACTAATATCCAAAATCTACAAGGAACTCAAACAAATCAGCAAGAAAGAAACAAATAATCCCATCAAAAAGTGAGCTAAGGACATGAATAGACAATTCTCAAGAGAAAGTATACAAATGGCCAACAAACATGAAAAAATGCTCAACATCACTGATTATCAGGGAAATGCAAATCAAAACCACAATGCAAAACCCTCTTACTCCTGCAAAATGGCCATAACTAAACAAATAAAAAAATAATAGATCTTGGCATGGATGTGGTGAAAAAAGAACAAAACTGCTGGTATAAACTAGTACAATCACTATGGAAAACAGTATGGAGCTCCTAAAAGAACTAAAAGTAGATCTACCACTTAATCCAGCAATCTCACTACTGGGTATCTATTCAGAGGAAAAGAAGTCAGTGTATGAAAAAGATACTTGCACACACGTTTATAGCAGCACAATTCACAATTGCAAAAATACAGAACCAGCCCAAATGTTCATCAATCGAGGGATAAATTGTGATACACACACACACACACACACACACACACACACACACCATGGAATACTACTCAGCCAAAGAAAGGAATAAAATAATGGCATCACAGCAACACGGATGGAGTTGGAGACCATTATGCTAAGTGAAGTAACTCAAGAATGGAAAACCAAGTATCATATATTTTCACTTGTAAGTAAGAACTATGCTATGCAGATGCAAAGGCAAAAGAATGTTACAATGGACTTTGGGGACTCAGGGAGCAGGGATGAGGGATAAAAGGCTACACATTGGGAACAGTGGACACTGCTGGGGTGATGGGTGCACCAAAATCTCAGAAACCACCATGAAAGAACTTTATGCATGCAACCAAACGCTACCTGCTCCCAAAAAACCTACTGAAATTTTCTAAAATAACCTTTAAAAAATGTTACTTATTTGTATGATGAAATATTATATAGCAGTTTAAATAAGTGAATTAGATTTACATAGATATATCCCAAAAATACACTAAGCGAAAAAATAAGTTGCAGAATAATATGGTATCATTTATGTACTTTTTTAAACATACAAATAGTACATACTGCTTGTGGATATATGCTTATGTGGAGAAAACACACACAAAAATGCATCGGCGGCATGCACTCCCACCTCAGGATGGCGATTTCCTCTGCAAAAGGTTGAAGGAAGGAGGAAGAGAAGGAAAGAAGCTTTAAATATACTTTAAAGCTTATTTTTAATGAGATTGTTCAAAATAATTGTTTAGGCTGGGCATGATGGCTCATGCCTGTAATCCGAGCACTTTGGAAGGCCAAGGCGGGTGGATCACCTGAGGTCAGGAGTTCAAGACCAGCCTGGCCAACATGGTGAAACCCCGTTTCTACTAAAAAATACAAAAAATTAGCCAGGAGTGGTGGCAGGCGCCTGTAATCCCAGCTACTCACGAGACTGAGGCAGGAGAATTTTAAACTGAACCTGACAGGCAGAGGTTGCAGTGAGCAAAGATCGTGCCACTGCACTCCAGCCTAGGCAACAAGAGTGAAACTCTGTCTCAAAAGATATAATAACAATAATAATAATTTTGTAAAAACTAAATAATATAAAGAAGTAGGAAAGGAGGTGCTCCATGTAAAATTCATACCAAGGAGAGGAGGTAGTCCTGGAAAGATGACAAAGGAGCAGGGAATACCAGTCAGGTGAAACACTCACTGAATTTATGTAGAAACAAGAGTTCTTCCATTTATCTTTTTTACGTTACATCTGATTTTAAAACAAGTTGGAAGCACTTTAAAACAGATGGCCCTTTTACAATTGACCTATTAAATAAGAATAAAAGATCAGCACCAGAGTTAAGACATCTGTAACAGAAGATCCAGGCTGGAAGAGGCACACGGTGACAGCTCCCAGTCGTGTTAAAAGCACAGGATCTAAGACAGACTACCTGGATTTGAACCCAGGCTCCACTGCTAACCAGCTGCCACCTGCACAAGCCAAGTGCCTCCATAAACCCCAACTTTCTCTTCTGGAAATCAAGGATCACATTAGCAGCTATTTAGTGGGGCAGCTTTAAGGATTAAATATTGGAAGTATGTAAAGTGCTTACTTAGCACATTGAAAGAGGCCTAGTAATTACTCAATAAATGTTAGCTGTTATCATTATTTTTATTAAAGAAGTTAAGCATAAACCTTAACTCTAAGCTTTCTACAAGCTAGACTAAGCAACAAGGTAACCCAAGCAGTTACATAGATCCCACTACTTAGGACGCACGGATGAACAAACGGATGGATGGACAGGAGGGAGAGAGACGGGAAGAAGAAAATGAGAGAGGGAAAGAAATTCCCTACTAGTTTGAAGGTAGCTACATATTTTTCCAAGTTCTGAATTCTAAAACAGTTTTAACTTGGTTCTCCAAATAGTAGCCCTGAATCAATAAAATGGATATCTGGCACAATGTAATCAGAAACTCCAACTTTCTATCCCACTGAACTTCACTCCAAAGAAACCCAAGGCCCAGATCAATGTTGTATGCTCACTGAGACACACACACATGTTCAGCCGTGGCGGGGATTTCATTAGAGGTGCTGTGAGGGCTGCAGAGCTTGGTACCAAATACCAGAAAGAAGACTAAACCACTGAACATCACGGCTTTTTCCTAATGTGTTCATTAGAAAAGGATTTTCAGTGAGTGGCAAAATCACAAGGGATTAAAATTTGAAAGGCCACTGACTTTCCAAACCTCCTCCCCAGAAAGTATCAAATCTTGGAATTTTATTCTTCCTTGGTTTTTCCATTGGCTTAATCACTCTGGCACTGCATACAAGAAAAAAAGAATTCCTTTGAACAGGTGCCCTATTTATGAAGACATTTATAGCCACCATAAAAATATAGGAAAATGATTATTCTTCCTCCCCTTCTCACTTTTTCTGCTAAAGAGGTAGAATAATATACTACATCTGAATTGCACACCCTGGTGTATTTACCTTGCCCAGATCTTCCCAGATGTACGAAAAACAAAGTTGTATTTTTTTCCTATATTTCTGCTGCAATTCTAATATGTTTCTCCAAGGCTGACTCTGACTTTGAATTTATGGAGAGTCTTTCAAAGGACCAATAATAATAATGAATTGTTGTATTCGGGGAGGCTCTGTGCTTCATTTCATGCTCATAAATTACTATTGCTGATTTTAAAAGATGGTGCGAACAGGTATTATCTTTATAGTATATTCAAGATCTTAAATGCTTTCTAATATTATGAGACAAGTCTGATGAACTTACTTCTTTCATTAGCAGTTATTTTCTTCACAATTATCTCTATCTTATGAAATCTAAGGACTTCCTAGTATTTTTACATTGAAGACTCTATAGGTATTAAGGAGAGGTGCATTAAAAATCCCAAGACATTCTACATGCTACAAAAAAAATGAAAGGAAATAGAAAACTTACTTGAATCATCTTGACATGAAAGCAAAATTCTTAAAATTCTATCTACCCTCTTGGCATCCCCACACAAAGATCCTGCAGAAACTGGAAACTTGTAGGAGCCATGACTAATCCAGGCAAAGCTAATTATGAACTGCTTCTGCAAAATGACCCCTGTTCTGCCAGCAACATTTGCATTGCATCTAGAATGTGAACTCTCGGTACCCTGTATCATCACATTCCCAGACCTTTCTTCTTATGTCTGTACTCAGTGAAGTCTCTCAATGCAGAGAACAAGGAAATTTACATTCTTCTTGGAAGAAGGTTCAGATGGAGCCACAGTCTTGGGCCCAAGACACTCTTCAAAGACGTTAATTAATGATGGGAAAAAGAAAGAGGCATGGTGTATGTAATAGGGGCAAACTCTTCTGAGGTCTCTTGGCTAAGAATTCCACAGAAAATGCAGGCAATCACTTTCTCCACTCGGTCCTGACCTCCCAACTCCTCTCCTGTGTCCTCCTCCCAGGAAGTCTAGCATGTCAAAAAGGCGCCTGTATCTCGTCTAGAAAAACTCAAAGGCAGCCATCCCAAACACAAATAATATGAAATAAATCTTATAAAAGAGATGGTGAGAAATGACACCTTGGTTTAGCCTAGGCTGAGAAACCTAGAAAGACTGTTTGGAGTGAAGCAAACACCAGCTGGGAAGCACAGTTCAGGCCGAGGGCCTGACCCTGAGTTCAGAGATGGAGGAGCCGGGCAAAGCATGTGTTCTGTTTTGTAACCTTAATTTTTATGGCTATCTGCTGGTGGGCTGTTTCGCCTGGTTCTGGTCTATTTCAACATCCATTTATGTTCCACCGCTAGTTCTTTAATAAACACATTTTTTACTCTACCTTGCCAAGCAGGAGTCCTCAATGCTGGAGGCACCCCAATAGTCGTAGGAGGTCTCTTCTATCTGATTTGGGGAGCGAAGGTGTCTGCCGGTAGCCCTTTCATTTGCTCCTCTGCAGCACCCTGCAACTCCTGGCGTGCTTCGATCCCTGGTGCAGACCAAAGCCTGCTGCACCTGAAAGAACCCTGGCCCCGTCTCACCCCTGAATGCGCTGGATATGATCTCATGGGGAAAGAATCCACCTTGTTTTCCAAAGCCAAAAATGAAACAAACCAATTGTACTTGCAATTCATACTCGATATTTTCCATCTCTGAGTTTGTAAACTAGAACAGAGGGATTTAAGACATACAAGAAAAGAAAAAAGTTGCTTAGAGAAAAATTTAAGAAAAGGTCAGTGATGCCATCCAAACAGCCATGAAGAGATGACAGTCATTACCCAAGGACTCTGATGATGGAGTTTGGGAGGCAGCCTGGGGTGGAGAAGAAAGTGAATGGCTCAGGTTTCAGGCCAAGGTGGGTGTGCATCTTGGCTCTGTCACTTACTAGCAGCATAAGGAGAGCAAAGTGACCCAGCCTCTCCCAGCCTCAGTTTTCTCATTCGTACAACAGTGGTAGCAGTGCCTACCCCATTCTTGTCAGAATCCCATGCCAGCATGTAGCACATGGAGTGTGCTAGGACATACATGGCACTTCTAGCAGGGTGCTGGCACAGCCAGAAGCAGCTGTACGGGAGTGGCTTCCATTACCCTCAAGTTGTTTAGGCCACAATAACCCAGTGTGATCAAACTTCCTCATCTTTTGCAGACAGCCTTCCCATACCACGACCCTAAACGTGGTACAAGAAGGTGTCCTGACATTTTGAACAATGTTTGCCATAAAACCAAATCTCCATGCATTTCCACAAGAGTGGCTAGATAATATGATAAATCATCTACAGAAATGCAGGATTCTTGGTGACTCATTTAAAAATAGAAATGCTTTATACTGTTATCTACCAATGGAATGAAATCGGCATGCCTATGGTCTCAACAAACTAGCGTGATAGAGGGAGGCTCTAGATCATGCCAAATGAATTTTTATCAAATCTTAATCCAAATTCATATGCAGGATTGTTCATTAGAGATGGAATCCAGTGCCAGCATTTACTGGGGACTATATTTCACAAATTCCCCTACATCTGACTTGAGGAAAATCTGACTTTGAGCAAACGTTCAGCCCAGTGAGTGCTTCTTGATCATTACAATGGCCTAATAATAGAAGAAGGTTTCCCGTAGGTAGAGTTAAAATCAGCACATTCATTCAAGCACACACAGTAATGAAAAGTAGAGGCAAAGTCAGAGCATGAAAAATAAGATCTAGGGACTCTTCTCCCACACATGTTGAACTTTAAAGTTAAGACAGTGATGCCTATATGAGTAATAGATAAATCCTCCAAACTTGAGGCAGCCTGGTCTTCAAAGTCCAGAAAAATGTTTGCAGACTTGTCTCAGCCATGAATACAAGTTTTGGCTTACACATTTAGGGTGAATAAGGGATCCAATAAATGAGAATGTTGTAGTATCTTCCCTCTGTGAACAGAAACTTTATGACAAATTAGTGTTCTAGAAAAACAACAGGTGCCTAAGAGGTTTCTAGCGTTGGTGGGCACAGAAAGAGCATTCCAAGAATGTACCACGAGATGCCAGAAAGGAGGTCAAGGAGGCAGTGACAGAAACACAGAAATGGAGACAGAAATCAGAGACAGCCATTAAAAAAAAAAAAAAAAGAAAGTTACAGGAACACAGTTCCAAAGATGAAGGTCAACTCATCACACATCACTGGCCCTGAACTCCCTTGACAGCATCTATTTGCAAAGTTGTACTAAAATGACACTGGAGCATAGGAGGAGATTTGGGGGAAGCCTTGCACGTGGCGATGAGCCATTCCCTCTACTGGCTGAGCTAATGAACTGCACCACTCATTTCTATGTATCACATTAAAGAACAGGTTTGGGACCTAGAGAGAGAGAGAAAGAGAGAGAGGAAAAGACAGAGGGCACGCAGTAATACTCAAAAATGTGGTTAATTTCTGGGGATTTAAGATTAGTTCCCACTACCAATCTCTCTTAGTTTCTTTTCTTGGTTTGAAAATGAAAACGAAACATGAGTTCAAGTAGACACACAATGTACCCACCAAACACATGGCTTTCCCCTCCCCCCACACACCCCAATTCCTTCTCATTTATTATTATTAGAAGTTGTTCTCACCTTCTTAGTGGATACATTTAAATTCAGTTAAGCCTCAGTATAATTGTGAATGTTTTACTCCACATCACACATGCAGCAAACATAGCCCCCTTGCAACATACCCAGAAATCAGATGGATTCAGACTAAAGGTTTTCAAGGAAGTTGTTTCAAGGACCTGTAATTAAAATAGTGTCTTCTCCCAAAAGGTAGGAGTGCCAGCTACAGCACTGTGGGGGCTTGTCACATACAAAATCACCCCGGTATTGAAATAATCGGGGCCGGGCGTGGTGACTCACACCTGTAATCCTAGCACCTTGGGAGGTCGAGACCAGTGGATCATTTGAGGTCAGGAGTTCAAGACCAGCCTGGACAACATGGTGAAACCTCGTCTCTACTAAAAATACAAAAATTAACCTGGTGTGATGGTGGGTGCCTGTAATCTCAGCTACTTGGGAGGCTGAGGCACAAGAATCGCTTGACCCCAGGAGACAGAGTTTGCAGTGAGCAGAGATCATGCCACTGCACTCCAGCCTGGGTGACAGAGTGAGACTCTATTGCAAAAAAAAAAAAAAAAGAAAGAGTGAATCGGCATCTGAGATGGCATCCGAGGATGGCCCAGACCTGGTCTCCTCCACCACAGGCCAGATGCTTGCTGTCACGGTTTGGCAAAGGTGGGATCTGACCAAAAAGGGTAAGATGCTCATCTTTCCTTCTCTCAAAGGAGTTGCAGTGAATTTCTTTCTGAGTTCAGAAATACCTTCTCTGCATCACTTGAGCCATGTTACTTACACTCTTACTAATATAAAAAAAAAAAAATCCCTTATCTTTATTTTACATAGTAGCTCTTAACATAAGCTCAGGGAAATAATGAGAAGATGAACTTGATGATTCTAACCGTACACAAGGTGACTGTGAACGGGAAGGCTGCGATGCTGCACCGTGTCACACACCTCCAAGAAAACTTTGAGCTGCACGGAGAAAACTATCTAGGATGGTATCATAGCAGCTACTTTCATTAAAGAAAATGTGATCTGGTTGACATTTAAGTAAGGCTTAAATATACTTCAATCTGAGTTTCTCCTTTGGGTTGATAACACTGTAAGAAACTACATATAATTAGCATTTCAGTCAATAAAATATAAATGTCAGTACTGGAGGAAAAGCTGTGGTTAGAAACACTTTAAGATAAAGATGTGGTCAATTGACAGATATTTAAATATGTAATGTGTCCCAGGGACGAAGAGCCATCAGAATGACTACACTCGCCCCCACGTGTGCCGCAGAACTATTCACATAGCCAAGAGGTAGACACCACCCAAATGCCCATGGACAGATGAACGGATGAAGAAAACACCGTACCAAATAGGAAACAGTTTCCTCCTACTGTCCTCACACCACTCTCAATACTTCAGAACACTTCCCTTCTGACACCACACTCAACACAGATCACACCTGTGACCAGACGTACGGGGTGTTTTTCCTCACCACGCAACGCTCTGACTCCAGCAGCTCCTACAATTCAACTCGCTTCTGACACCTGCTACCCACACCCTCTACCTACTCTCTAAGTGGAGGCGGTGCAGCACCCACAGGTTGAGAGCTGGGCCCCACAACACTATCCCCACTTCAGAATCCAGTCAGGTCACTCGAGCTTCTGACCCACAGCTGTAAAGCAAGTGTTCTCACGACCCCCTTCTCACAC